CATGTGTGCCCACAGAGAGGGCTCCAAGTGCCACCTCTGGCGCTTGTGCCATAGGTTCGCCATCACTGTGCTAGAATGAGTAGGATTGAAGTGAACTGAAGACATGGCCCACAAAGACAGAAGGAAATAGTCAGCTATAGGAAACATGGCAGAAACAATTCGAATGGGCGCATTTTGAGAAGGTGTGGTAGGAGAATAGGTTTAGTCAATTGCTTAGGTTATTTATTTATTTGATTTGTGTCCCACCTTTATTAGCTAGCTTTCATGTCTGCAGCAGGACTACAGATAGTCCTCAACTTACGACCACAATTGAGCCCAAAATTTAGGTTGATGTGAGAAATTTGTTAAGTGTGGTTTGCTCCATTTTGCAACTTTTCTTGCCACATATGTTAAGTGAATCGCTGCAATTGTTAAATTAGTAACGCGGTTAAGTGAATCTCATTTCCCCATTGATGTTGCTTGTCAAAAGGTTGCAAAAGGTGATCACATGACCCCAGGACACTGCAACCATCATAAGTGTGAGTCAGTTGTCAAGCATCCAAATCATGTGACCGTGGGGATGCTGCAATGGTCATAAGTGTGAAAAAAGAGTCATAAGTCACTTTTTTCAGTGCCATAGTAACTTTGAACAGTCACTAAGCGAACTGTTGTAAGTTGAAGGCTATCTGTAGAACTCACAGTTGTGTGGTTTCTAGACCAGCACCTTAACCACTACACCAGACTGGCTCTCTAGGATATGAGTTCTTATTATACCTAAGTGCTTGTTGTTTTTTATTTGTTTGTTTGTTTATATTAAATCAATCTATATAGATGTCCATCTACCATAAGAACTCTGGGTGTTAAATTGAATGACTATAACAGTGATGGCGAACCTTTTAAAGACTGAGTGCCCAAACTGCAACCCAAAACCCACTTATGTATCGTTGGATGCCGGGTGGGCATGACCCATTGGGTGGGTATGGCCAATTGGTGGGCATGGCTGCGGTGATAACGGCAGACTGGGTGGGCCTAAAAAGTTCAATCAATCAATTCCAACTTTGCGTGATCTTTTTTTTCCCCGCGAGAAGTTGAAATTTCCTCACGAGGAGTTGATTGAGCCTTTTTTTTTTTTGCAGATGGGGCAGACGCCTAAAGCAAAAAGGTTTTATAAAACCCACCTGAAGGCCTAGGCCTGGGTCGACGGCGCGTGTGCCCACAAGAAGGGCTCTGCGTGCCACCTGTGGCACGCTTGCCATAGGTTTGCCACTACAGGACTATAAGTTGCTCACAACAATTCTCACTCATAGACTGAAAATACTGTAATTTTATAAGAATAATGCACGGTTGGGGAAGGCATGTGGAGGGGCAACATACCTCTTGTGAGGTACACAAGAAATGTACATGTTATAATTTTCCATTTCTGTTAAAGGAATAGGCATATAGATAAGGTGACCAACTTTTTTACAACAAAAAGGAGGACACGAATAAATTGAAGAAAAAAATATCGTAAATAAAAGAAACATTGTATTTATTGCAACAATAATACAGAATACACTATAATATGATCAATGCATAATAAAAAACATTTGTAACAATAACATTTTATATTGTAATTATGCTTACATGCCTATTAATTATTTAAATGAGTACTTTTCCATTGAATGAATATTTTTTGTCAATGTATCATCTTCTAACAATATATTGGAAATATCTGAACAAGAAATATCCTTCATATTGAATTTTACAGCAAGTGCTGCAGCTAGAGTATCAACATTCAATCTCGATTTCTCACTTGTCCAAAAATCTACACAGCTGGACTGCGCGGGGGTGGGCGGTGGAGGCAGGTGTTGTGAGCCAGGCGCTCCAGGATGGCCACGTAGATGCGCAGGGTGAGGTGGTGACAGCGCAGGTCAGCACTGTGTAGACCACCAGCTGGGGCGGCCCATGGAAGGCCCACAGCCTCCCCGCCAGCACCGCTGCCCTGCCATGGAGAGCCGGCCCCGCGGCTCGCAAAGCACCAGCCAAGCCAGTTCCGGCCCTGAGCCGCCCCCCAGCACCACCGCCCACCCTGCGCATCCCCGTAGAGCCGGCCCCACGGCTCGCAAAGGCAAAGCACCAGCTGCTCTGGCTCCGGCCCTGCAGCTGTCCCCTCAGCCGCCCCCCAGCACCACTGCCCACCCTGCGCATCCCCGTAGAGCCGGCCCCGCGGCTTGCAAACCACCAGCTGTGCTGGCTCCAGCCCTGCAGCCACCCCCCAGCACCACCGCCTATTCTGTGCATCCCCGTGTAGAACCGAACAGGGAAGATCAAGAGAAACTTACCGCTCCAGTCTCTTCCAGCTATCTGCAGAACTAAGTAAGAGATGGTGTAGTTGGGTAGCAGTGAGGGGTGCAAAGTTCCTGCAACTTGACATGCAAAGTTTACCACCTGGGTGTTTTGGCGCGCTCAGCAGCAATTCCCATTGGCTTTCGAAAGCCAATAGGGGGAGTAGCACAGCTCAGGCAAAAGTTGAAAAAAAATCAAAAAAAGATTCTGGAACGCCTTCTGATCGTTCTATGAGGAAAAAAAAGTCCTGCAGATAAGTCTTCAAATATAGAAAAAGAGGACATTTAGGAGGACATTTTCAAGGGAGGACAGAACTCCAAAAGGAGGACTGTCCTCCCAAAAGAAGGACGGTTTATGGAAAAGGAGGACATTTAGGAGGACACTTTTTGAGGGAGGACAGAACTCAAAAAAGGAGGACTGTCCTCCCAAAAGGAGGACGGTTGGTCACCTTAAATTATAGAGGCACTTAGCTAAGATACTTTTAGGAAAGGAGATATAATAAGTTGAACGAATAGAGAGGAATTATATATACTGATTTAAAGGATACTTTTAGAATAGTGCACTGTAGAATTGTAGAATAGCATATAGCTTATGAATAACATATTATATAAGGCTTATTCTTTATAAAAACTACCTTAGCCACGAAAGCCGCCTGATTTCACTTTAGGCAAGTTATTTTCTCTCAGCCATAGGAAAAAGACACATTTTTGCTTTGTTAGGCAACAACAGTTGCCTAATCTGCTGTACTGTTGCCTAATCTGCTGTGCTGCCTCCAAGACAAATTTGCATATTAGCCTCTGTCAGTGCCCCTTCCACCATCTACTTTACACAGGAACATTTTGGCATTGTTGATTGCATATGGGCCAGTAAGAAAAAATAATCTAAAGGTATATGACTTTTTTTTATCTTTTACCTGTTATTCTGTTAAATAACACACAAGTCTTGTGAATAGATTGATGAGAATTGTTTCAAACTATGAATGAGAATAGTTCTTCTAGGGCAGGGGTAGGCAACCTTGGCTTTTTTATGACTCGGGGACTTCAACTCCCAGAATTCCTGAGCCAGCATGGAATTCTGGGAGTTGAAGTCCCCGAGTCATAAAAAAGCCAAAGTTGCCTACCCCTGTTCTAGGGCTTAATTTGAGAAGGCCTACTCTGTTCTAGAGAGATTTCCACTCAAAGCATTTTAACGTGAGTGAAGCATCTCTCCTCCAAGCGGAGGGAGAGCGGGAACGACCCATTTCAAAACCTGGAAACGTTCTCGAGAATTCAATCTCCCTTCCAGGGAACTTTGCCCCGGCGTCATTCGTCCCCCTCCCCTATCTGGAGCAGCTGAAGGAACCGGACAGAATCGGCCTTTTCCTAATCAGCCAAACTAAGGACTAAGGCGGAAAGGCAACATAACTGGACTTTTCCAAGCCGGGAAGCCCTCTCAATCTCGGCTGGGAACCTGTTTGGGCGGGAAAAAGAGCAGGCGACCCGAAGGGTGCAGTTTTATAGACTGCAAAAATGGAGCGAACCGTCTCTGATTTATTAAAGGAAGGCGGTAAGGGGGTCCCTCATCACCTCCCGCCCTTTTCCTGGAGAAACGGCGTTTGAAAGGGTCCCTGGCGGCTGGCCAAGTCCTGCAGACGGATGAGTTACATGCATTTCAGGCATTGGTGTTTCAGTGCCCCTTCCACCAAAAAGCTCTTTGCGTGGCTTATGGGTACAAAAGGCTTACACAGGTACAAAAAGCAGCAGATCGAGGCGTTGTGTATTTACAACTGTTATTCCCCGCGCGCTTAATCTGGCACGGGATTTGGTGCGTCCGGATTCGCTTTTCACGACGGCAATCCTGGCATTTATTTAGCCGCATTGAACTTAACCGGTTTTATTTCTGAATAAATGTGCGTACATCAATAAAAGCGTTTATTATGATTTAAAAAAGAAACACCGGAGTGGTACTGTTTATTGGTACTGTTTATTAGCCGAAGAGCCCGTTCTAGATCTTTAGTAGAATTAGCTGCGCTTTGTAGCTAAACTTCGCAACGTTTCTCTTCTCTTAATGCAATGTTTCTGCAGAGTCCTGCGTCGCCAAAGCCTCATCTAAAGCCTAAAGCTGATTCGCTTTTGGTTTTGCTTCATTACGGATTTCCTGGCGGAGCAATAGAGCCGTAGGTGTTTCCCGCTGGGATAGAAAATTGAGCCCCGTTTCGGACTGACATCGAACCTTGAGCCGGGGAAATAGCAGCGGTTTCGGAGGAAGCCACTGAGCATGCTCTATTCAATATTAGGCTTGGCTGCTTGTTTCACAAGGATATTCAATATTAGGCTTGGCTGCTTGTTTCACAAGGATAATTCTTGAATTTTTCAAAATCAAAATGTTGTTGTTTCCTCCCCCTCCCCCTATACATTTTACCGAAAGAAAAGTGATACATTTTTTTGGGTAGGCAGAGAAGCACAGAGCCCATCGCTTAAGAGAGCGCCCAGTAAGGGCAAGGCAAGGCGTCAATCGCCCCTCCTGAGCATGCCCGGAGTTGAGCCGAGCATGCTCGGCGATTCCCGGCGGCCCTCCTAGGGTTGTTGCCAGGGTGAGAAGGAAGCGGAGCTCGGTTTTCCCGCCCGAGACCGCGGCGGCGAGCATTAGGCGGCGGTGGCAATGGAAAGCAATGGGTAATATCGCTAACTGGGTCAGGGGAGAAGGCTGGGTCGCGGCCAAAGGTGGAGATTCGTGGGTCTGCGATATGTTGGGTTGATGTTTGGTCTTTGAAACCCTCCCCCTCCCACGAAACAGCTTGCACTTTTCTATATGATGGTTACATGGTTGCTCAGAATTGACGGCGATGAAGGAACAAGGCTAATTTGCAGTCTGAAAAGCAGAATGCCTCTGAGCACGTATAGAGCGCCGTTCCTTTGCCACGGTGCGGCATCTCGCATGCCTCTTTCCACGAACTGAGTTCTCTTTATCTCTTATTGCTTATTGGTATAAAGGCCTGTTAATATGGGATTCAAGGAAAGCACTTTTTAGCTGATTTCAGTTTTGGGTAGGAATATTTGTTTGCTTATAACCCTGGTAGAAAGAAGCCTGTGAGGACTGTGATATGGAAAGGTGTTTTTTTTAGTAGCAAGTGCTACTAGCAAGTGAACTGGGGGCACCAGTATGTAAACTGGGAGTAGAAAGGTTTAGACTTGAAATAGATGAAAATTTTTGTTGAGCATGTATAGTGTATACTTCCCTCACTACAGATATTAATTTCAGTCTTCATTGAGATGTCAGAAACAGAAAATGCAGCTTCCAAATTACTTGGTTTTTTAATATATGTTCCCATTTTTATATTGTTTTTACGTTCTTGACCTTATGGCATGTTGATGAGGAGAATTGCAATGTAAAAATAATAGTTCTGAGCCCTGTGAATAATTACCAATTAACAAAGGGATATTAATTAGGGGTGGAAGTTGTGTGGTGCACCTCTCAACTTGTTAAGGTCACTATCATACTTCAGGATCAATTTCCAAACTCAATACTGGAAGTGAAAAGAGTATTCTGTGAATTGCCATAGAATGCTAATATAAGGAACATGCTTATAGCATAGGTTGCAGAAACATATTTCTCTTCCTGAAAGAAGGGTCCTGGATTAGGACAGGGCCAAGATACTTTGCCACTAAAGTTAAAGGAGAAGATGATGCCATCTTCAATTCATTACCCAGGTATTGAATCCTAAGTCAGCAGCATCTTGAATAACAATACAGCATCTTCTACTATATGCGAAGGCAATGGGCTAATTCAAATGGTGCAGGCATTTTTTTACCTTCTAACATCCCATTATAGATAATCCTTGATTTACTACCATTCGAAATTAAAATGAAAGTTTAAAAAGTGGCTTACAGCCAGTCCTCGCACTTAGGACCATTGCAGCATCCCCACAGTCGCATGATCAAAATTTAGGCATTTGGCAGCTGGCATGCATTTATGACAATTGCAGTACCTGGATTGTGGATCACCATTTGTGACCTACCCAGACCTTCCGATCAGCAAAGTCAATGAGAGAAGCCAAGATTTGCTCACTTAACAGCTGCAGTGATTTGCTCATCATATTGTAAGCCACCCAAGGTTCCTATATCAGTGAAATTGGGAGGGGTATAAAATTTAACAAATAAATAATAAATAACAGTGACAAAAAAGATTGTAAAATAGAACATTACTTAACAACTACTTTGCTAACTATGCAAATTCTGGGCCTAACTGGTCATAAGTCAAGGACTACCTGTATCTGAGATGCCCATCCCATCATGACTAGCCCTGTCGTTTATATCTTCATGCTCTACAACTTTACAACCTTTTGGATCCGTAAATTCTTGTTCATAATCTAAATTTTAGGAATATGTAATTGCATCTATTAGGAACGAAAGCTCTTTGGTGTGAGACGGTTCTCATAATTCTATGCAATCTACACTTTGTATCCTGCGATTATAGCATGCCATATGAAAAGTGAAAGGAAAAATACTATCTGCTAAGACAGGTCCCCAACCTTTTGGCCACCAGGGACGGGTTCTGTGGAGAGAGGTTTTTCCACAGGACCGGAGGGTGTGTGGTTTTCTGTGCTGCTTGCATCTCGCAGATGGGACTTTGCTTGTTTGTGTGGCCCGGTTGCTGGCATGCCGCAGCCCAGTACTGGTCCACGGACTGGGGGTTGGGGACCCCTCTGCTAAGAAGTTCCCATCTCTAGAGTTATGCATATGAATACTTTATTTGTCTTTTGTTTTTACTTTCCCTTATTTTTAATTTGTTCTTTAATTTTATTTGTAAGATATTCTTAGATACAATCATGATGTTTGTTTATCTTTGTAAGCCATTGAGAATTTTTTTTAATTGTGGGATATAAATCTGATTAATAAATAAATATAAATAAATAATTTGCATAGTAATTCTATACTTTGATAATACAAAGTAGGATAACTCTGCCTTTAATATCACTCTCTCCATTTATTTTTCTGTTTTTTAGTTTTATATTAATTAATAATTCTAATGCATTTGGTGATGAAGCTAAGGCCTACAGTTTCAAATATAATCTGAAGAAAAATGTAAACTAAAGAGTGCTGCTGATTGAGCAATGGGATTGTGCAAATCCTGAAATAGCTTTATTAGACAGTACACTAATTGAAATTATAGCACTTGGCTAGAACAGCAAAACAATCATTAGCCTTAGAGTAAGAAAACTAAAGGGGATTATTTTTCTCTTTTTAAAACTGAATCAGCATAGAATATTTATTTGTTAAAATTATTTGCCGCTTATCTCGGGCTACTCTTTATTACTTTTTACAGTAATAAAAATAAAGAAATCTGACAAGGCATGTAAACAGAATAGAACAATAAAGTAAACAATGACAAAGGAACACAATGAGAATAAATTCATTGCAAATAATCAATTTTAGCATTCATGTGTTATTCATGATTAGACAGTATTTGAATGGCCAGGAGAGCAATCTATTTACAATGTGTAAAGGAAACTCTTTTCTTCCTAGCTGGAGAATTTTGGGAGTTGAAGCCCACACATTGTAAAGTTGCCAAGGTTGAGAAACACTATCTCTAGCAGTTATGCAGTAAGCTATTGAAAAATATAGTTTTCCATTTCATGTATTCTCTACAACTATAATATTTATAAACTCAAAAATAATATAAACTCAATGTATTTTTTTCAAATATGGTACAATGCAACAGATTGCTATTTCTCACTTAAGTAATTTTACAAGACTTTTACTTTGAACAATTGATTTTCATGCCATATCACAGTCATCTTGTGAAAATGGCCTTTATTTTAAAGCATTCTACTATTTGGCTAGAAAAACATGAGATAAAGGCAACAAATGAATTCCAACTTTCTCTGGATCTTGTCCACAATTCCTTAAAATGGAATTTTGCATCTAACTTTGATGCATTTTTCAGAGTGTCTGATTTTACAGGATTTTATTTAAAACTCTATTTTGACAGTTATATATTATTATATATTGCTAAGCTAGCAAGCATATTTATCTAGAAACATCTTATGTGATTTATTTTAGGAAATGAACCATATGTCCTATCTTACTTCTGGGGAAGCAGAAAAAAAATTGCTGCATTATTCAGTCACGTGATTCAAACTTTGTAAAAGATCATCTTGGAACAGAATCATCCAGCCAACTGGAAACTATTTATTAAATAAATCAATAGACAGATCAGATACACATGTAAGTAATGTTATTGCAGTGTTAACTTGGAAACTGGTTATCTGGCTGTTACAAATAGTATTGCTTTATAGTTATAGAACCGAATGCATGTGCACCAACAAATCAAGTGGTTTTACTATATTTAAGAGGTCCTGAAGAAAACTATTGTGTGACCATATAATACTCTATCCTGCTTCATTGTCTTCATTTTTCACAGATCTGTCCATGTACACTAAAAAAGATAAAAATATTGTCAGGAGTGTGCCCTGTCCCTGTGAAATAAACAAAAAGGAACCTGTTTAATCAGTTCCTGGGACAATTCAGAAAGTTCGGGAAGAAGTCAGCACAACTCTCTAGGAAGCTTGAAAATTAAGATGTCTTCCTTCTAGAAATGGAAAATGCATCATAAGAAAGAAAAAAACGGAAAAGAAAATAATAATGTGATAATAAAGAAAACCAAAACAATAAGCTAATTTTAGGACAGTGTGGCAAAAAGAAAATCTAAAAAGATATAATGAAGATTTTTTTTATTTGTATCTGAAGCAATAAACCAGCCAGTGCCGTTAGATTACAAAAAAGTAAAAAGAGGATCAAAGAAGATATGGCAGTTGTAGAAAAACTGAATTTACTGTCAAAGATAAGGACAGACATGTGTAATGTAATCTGTGGATGACATCAAGGGACAAGAAAAGAAAAGCCGCCTAATCAAACAAGAGGGAGGAGCCTAATCACTTAATGATTAGAGAAAGTTGCATAGAAAGAATCTGACCTAACTGATCAGATAGCTAAAAATGATAGCAAAGAGGTTTGTACCTTCAGACTTGTAAAATTTTGTTAATGTAGCCTTATAATAAAGTTGATTTAGGTCATCTAGTTGTGTTTCCTATCTGACTTACTTGGAAGGGCTGACATCAATCTTCCAAGTCTGAAGATTTATTTATTTATTTTATTAAAATCCAGGTAAGATATAGAAGATACATACTTCCTTTTATCTTATCAGTACAGATATTATAGAAAATGTGGCAGTTTTCTTCTATGGCTATCTTGAATCTTGCTGTAATTGTTTATAGCTCTAGCAATTTTACAACAAGCCAACTATTATGACTTAAGATTAAATGTCCCGTAAATCTATATGGCTTTAGTGATATGCTGGTCTTGGTTAAATACTCCTATTAAATATTGGTCTTGGTTAAACATCATTACTTAATAACAAGTTGTGTCAGGAGGAAGAGAGGGAAGTATTAGCATCTCAGAATCTCATAATTTTGATGTAAAGTTTGCTTTGGGAAATTGGGTGTGGGGATGGGAAAAAATAAAGAGTGAAGCAAAATCAATAGTTTGTAAGCCCCCAGAAAGTGAAGAGGTTGAATCACTGAAGGAGAACTGGATCTCATACAACAGATTAATGAATAAACATCGGAGAAGGATGAAAGAACTATTGCCTAGCACCTTGAGCCCAAGTGAACCAAAATGGTATGCTTTGAGATGGATGGAAAAAGGAAGGGTTTTAGAGCATATTTTCCTTTAGAATGTATTTGGTTTTTATCATTATTATTACACCTATCTTGCCAAGAATTTCCTGCCTATATGTAGATTATGGAAAGCCGGATTAAAAGTTGAGCCAAAGCTTTAGAAAATTTTGTAGGTAATTTTTTTCTCCAGAATTGTCTTGAAAGCAATAAAGTGTACATATATTTATAATGACACAAATAATACCTTTGGATTTTAAAACAAACCAGTTGAATACTATTAAATCTTAAAACTCATTTTGACAAAATCTTCACTTTTTCATCCCCTTTCTCTTAAATATTAAAAGAAATATTGAATAGATTACCACTTAGCACATCATATTTGTGAGAGAAGAGCTTGAAGATTCAGTATCTACTGGCAGCACAAAATATGGCTGGTTAGTTATAGATGTACAGATGCAGGATTTCCTTTTTTAAATACCATTGCAATGTACTTTAAAATCATACTGATCCATGGGGGAAAATGCATAAATGTGTAAATATAAAATCATTTATTATTAGCAAACAATCTACAAACTGCAATATGAGACTGGCTTGAAATGTACACGAAAAGCTGAAATAAATGACAATTTAGGATATTTTTCTTTTTTTTTCTTTTGTTTATCCCAGTCCTTATTTGTAACATTGAGTTCTACAGAGCTTGAAAATGTGTGGGTTTTGTGTGTTTTTTTCCTAAGTAGTAGATTACCATCTACAGATTTAGAGCCCCCCCACCCCATCCCATGGGCTTATGCTTGATATATAATCAAGAAACAAAGCTTTTGAGTTTTCCTAGGCTGACCAAATGATTTGAAGATGGCTTTCTTAAAAAAAAAACATATCCAGAATAACTTTGGAAACATTTATTAAGATTAAATTCACTTAATTTATATAGCCATCCATCTTACATTTATGGCTCGCAATTAAAATATAATATCAAAAAGCCAAAACATAAAATATCTGTACAAGCTGGACAAAACGTTACATGAAAACATTACATCATTGTTCCAACATTAAGTCACTAGATTAACACAGTTGATTCAAGAATACAACTGATTCAAGAGCAATGCAATCATTTTATGGGCTCCACACCACTTTTTGATTCCCAGGCCAGATTCCCAGCCATGTCTTCAGGCCCTTTCTTCAGGCTGTCGGGGCTGGGCGCATCTTGATTTGGGTGGTGGGAATGATGTTCCATAGAGCAGGTGCAGCAGCACAAAAGGCCTTCTTCCCGCGTCCTGTCAGGTGACGTTATATAGTGGGCAGAACCTGCAATTATGCCCCTTCCGGTGGACCTGTTGGGATGTAGAGAAGGGACTTGGAAGAGGCAGTCCTTCAAATCACCTCAAATTAATAACTATTATTGTAAAACATTAAAAACCAGCTTGGTGTGGTAGTTAAGACGCCATGCTAGAAGTTAGGAGCCTGCGAGTTTTAGTTTTAGGCATGAAAGCTGGCTGAATGACTTCAGGCCAATCACTTCTTTTTTCAGCCCAATTCGCCTCACCGGGTGGTTGTTGTGGTAAAATTAGGAAATAGGAGCAAGAAATATTAAGTGTGTTTGTCACCTGGAGTTATTTATACAAAGAATAAAGGCAGGCTATAAATAAACAAATGCTTTTATTTCAAAAAGTCGAGGCAGCCTAAAAGGGCTGCTCTACATAATATATACCACATCATCCTATATGACATCTCGAAAAATAACAGAATGAAAGTTGCATGCATGATATTAAAGCTCACATCCCTGTGTTAGAGCATTGGTGATGTTATCTAATCTGATAATGAAAAGTCTTCAAGAAGAACATTAATTCAGAGACAACTAAGAGTCCTCAAAAATTCTTCCTATTTTCTAGGTATCCATCTAGGTCAGGCTCAGGCCATCTATACTGGCTCGGGAATTCTGGGAGTTGAAGTCCATGAGTCATAAAAGAGCCAAGGTTGCCTACCCCTGATCTAGGTTGAAAGATTTGTAAAAGAGTGCATAGTGAAATTATCTAATTAAAAATTTTGGTAAAAATGCTGGGAATAAACCAGTATCTTTACTTTTAAATAAATTATGTGCAGGTCCAAAGGATTAAGTAGTCTTATACACTTCGAATGAATTTAGGCATCACAATGTGATTCGCTTTTGGCTCTTTGTTCTATATGAATCCAGTCACGGTGCTTGTAAAAAGTACTGATTACGGATTCATGCAGTTGAGGGTGTCTGGAGAAGAATAAAGTAATTTTCCCCAGCCATTCCCTGGCTTGCTTCTTTTTAAAGTTTGTCAGTCTTTATTCTGTGTGTGCTTTTAGCTCTTCCTCAATGCTTTACTCCTGATTCACCATTTAATACACTACAATTTATTCAATAAACCATGGTTAAGCATGGATATGCAATGTTTTTAATTAGTATAAATAAGGGGTTGGGTAAACAGGTTTTGTGTATTTTATAATACAGAATACATTTCTGTTTGCATTATTTTTATGTTTAGGTCTTGGGAAGATACCATGAAAGATAAAGTTACTTTTCAGGAAATGGTTCGTGAAGCAGAGCTGGCAGTTGACTCTGCAGAAATCTTTTTGCCATCATTTAAAGAAAGTCTGGTTAGAATTACAAAAGTAAGTTCAGTTAGTTATCCATAAATTCTGCTAAATCAGGTGAACTCATATAAGAATTATGAGTAGAATTGTGATCGCAGAAATGAGTTTTCTTCTCTTTGTCTACTATTCTCTGACTAAATTTAGAAAGACAAGAGCTTTCAGTGTTCAGTTCAGCACAAAGAGACTGCAAAAAATAAAATAAAAATGAAGCTATGGGTTTAAAAAAATATTTGGGTAAGTTTATGATTCATCTCTGATAAGTCAATACAAATATTGAACATTTTTAACATTACTTCAGATTAGCAGTCCATATCTGATTTGAAGATTAATTTTGCTAAAAATTTTTTTTAATATTCCAGTGGTCATATTCATTGTAGCAAGCTGTTCTTGTATTTGGATGATATTACCTGTATTTCAAGATGGTTAGTTTTAAAATAATAATGTTAACAGTAAAACTGACATTAAAAAACTAGAGTTTTTGGAAATCTGTTTAACCATTTTTTTTTTTTTTAGGCTTGTTGTATTGCTGCTTCAGATGAAATAACAATTTCTATGCAAGAGGACTTACTGGCAAAGGAGCTAGAAGCTATCCAAAAAATGAAAGGATTGTTAATCTGGCTACTAGAGTCAAGCAAGGAAAAAGAAGTAAGAAGGATGTAAATTACTGTGACCAAGTATACCATGAATTAAAAGGGAATTAAATATTTGTAACTGTTTTGATTTAGGATTTAAAAGGGAGGTTGTGCATTCACAGAAAAATGTAACATAGATACCAAGTTTTCGGTACCTGTCTATTACTTACCAGAGCAATGAATCACATGCTTTCAGGTTTAGTACTCTGTCCCTAAGTTTCTGTTGCTTTGCATATGTGAAAAAGCGACTCAATGACAGAGTAACTTAGGAATGGCTTATTAGATCCATTTGCAAGTAAAAATTTCATCCCGGCAGATCTGTCAAACGGCTTTCCCAGATGATCAAAAACATTAAAGTGAAGTATTTGCTTCCTTGAAATAAATCTATTTAGGTTATGCCATTCATTGAAGGAAAAAAAAAAGTTTTCCTGGATGTCCCTCTTCTAGCAAAACAGCTGTTTGTAGACAAAATGAGCAGTTTATTGTATCATGTATTAGATTTTTGCTTTTAAATATTGAGTACTTTTCCAATCCCTCAAGGAAAAAAAAACATTCAGAGTTCATAAATACATTACCCTTTATTGCCTGAATAAACAAAAATGAATGCAGAAGTTATTAACAGAAAATAGATTTTTGGTAGTTGTTCCAAGGGTGCTTTTTCAAAAGACACTAGACTTTGTTTTTCCTTGAAAAAGCCCCTTTGGGAGAGCCATAACCTAAATAACTGAAAATCTCCATAGACATTTTTTGTAGTTCTGTAGCTGTATTTGGTAATGAGAATAAATTTTGCTTTGTTCTTAGCTCTAAATTATGCATAAATATAGCACATATTTGTATATTTATTAGAAATGGGTGATCAGTCACTTTCCAGATGTAGCAAAACTGCAACATCCAGCGTTCTTTATCATTGGCTATGCTGGGAATTGTAACATTCAGAGCGTCTTCCCTATTCTTTTAGGAAGATGGGGAGATTTGATACTGCAGAAACCATGTCAAACTAGTATGTTGTATGTGTTTTTGAATGACAATGAAGCAATTGGATTCAGTTTCTCTTGTTTTTAGATTATCAGTAAAGAGACAAAAGATTTGGATCAGACTTTATCAGAAAGTGCAATGGATGTTGAAGTAAGTTCTTTTTTCTTGTACACCTTGCTCTCATCAAGGGTAACATCTCCATTTCTTGAAGATATACTTAGCACCTGCTAAGAGAAGAAAAAAAGATAACAACTTTATGCTTTGATTGCTACTTCTGATAGTATATTTTCCAACTAACTCATTTTATTAAAAGACATCAGTTTTTGTCAGTTTTGGCTCAGTTTATCAGATGCAAAGCTCATATTTTGGCTAGTTGGAAAAGGCACTACCAAACTCCTGATTTTTTTTTTTGTCACCACAGACTAACGCTGGTATCCTTCTACAATTTCTTTGTTACATATAATTGTAAAAAGTTACTTAGAAAAAGTACATGAACAGAACACAAAAAATTAGAAACAAAATGTACAGTCTGAAGCAGGAATGCTTTTAGAAAAACCTTGTGCAGCCAGGTTATCCTATACACTGCCTGCCTACTTAGACACCAGCAGAATAAGGAAATGGCTGTATGCAGGTTGGAATATTAGCCTGCAGCAGGGTGCATAGCCCAATGCCCCAAAGCTATATGCATTTCTTTAAAAACTTTGTCCGACTTGTTGCTAGGTAAGTATTTTCAAAGTAACACAAGGAAAAAAATTGATGGAATACATGAAGAATCATACTATTTATTTTTAATAGCTTTAAAGGTCGTATGCAAAAACTCCAGATCTTGTGACATGTAGCACATGTATGCCCACTCAGCTCTCCTGCCAGATCACCATGCTGGCTGGGGAATTCTGGGAATTGAAGTCCACAAGTCTTAAAGTGGCCAAGTTTGAGGACTCCTGTGCTAGATCAAAAAGCTAAAGTGACCCAGGCAACAAAAGCTGCTTCTCGTATTTGAAGCTTGGTTTGGCCCACAAACATTGTTGTATTTGGAAGAACCAAGCCATGAAAGTGTCTTCATTTTTTTAATTAGCTGGAAAAATTATATTTAAGAAAGGTTTTATTTTCTATTATATTTCTTTGAACTTGGGAAAGTTTTTTGACCTTCATAGCAACAGCTATAGTCTCTCTTAAGTGAACAATATATTTAGTTGTACTAGCTATACTAATAACAAATAATAGCATATGTAAAGATTCATCATTCTGTAAGTAAAGTAGACATCTGGTGGTATATCAGCTTTAAGATATTTTGGATCACAGAATCCCAAAGCCTTAGTAAGAAATACAGCACAAATAAATATGGAATAAATCGTATATCTAATGGGTGTTAATAGCTTAAACCTAAATTGGTTTTGGAAAGATATCTGTCATTCATGTAGTAAAAATGTTGAATGGGGAACCAGTTAAATTATCAGATTATGTTTTAAACAAAAATATCCATGGGTGCCAGATAACAGAAGAGGCAAGATGGCAGCTGCAGCTGTATCTTTGAAACCCCACCCCTTCTTGGGTATATGCATGAAAATAGGTCTTCAGCTGCATTATAGTGGCCAACATCTTTTGTTCTTTTGACGGACGTTGATAGAGTTCACTTGACATCTGTTATCTTTTCAATAGAGTGTGTGTGTGTGTGTGTGTGTGTGCTCGCAGGCATGTACACATTTTTGAGTCCTGATAACTGCCTGCACAAATGCCTACACTTTATTAAAAGTGGTTTGCCATTGCCTCCTTCCTAGGGCTGAGAAAGAGTGGTTGGCCCAAGGTCACTTAGCTGACTTCATCCCTAATGGTCTCCTGATTTCTAATCTGGTGCCTAAACCACTACAGTAAACTGGCTCATTTTAGTACTTGGCAGAAGAGGGGGGAAATCAAGCTTGCTTGTGTAATAAATATTGACCATTTGCTATGTGAATGAGTCCTGGACATTCTACTTATTAGTAAGGATAGAATTCACCTAAAAAGAGCAATCACATAAACATTTCCTGATACTGGGTTTTTCTTCCTTATGTCTGAAGAGCCTCAGAAATGAAGTGATTCAAAAAGAGAAGCATATTTTAGAGCTTTCAGCTCAGCTTCAGCAAGAAAAAGTAAGTGAGCATTTTTCTCTAAGGCATACTTCTTTTTTTAACTTTTGTATTCATAACAAGATGTGCCTGGCTATAAGGTTATATGGTAATCCCATTGCTTTTGGAATCTTTGGGCTTCAGGATGTATTTGCCTGTTTTAAGCTTCAATCCCATATCTAGAAATAAACTAAACTGAATTGAATATTTGAATAAATATGCTGCCATATTTTTATTATCTATCCATTATTTATTTAAAATTTATTGAGTAAGAATTTATGCTGATTTAAACAATTGATGTAATTTTTGTCTACATTTTTACTCATTTCTTGTGATGTTTTAGTACAGTTTCAAACAACCTTTTATTTCTTTGCTCTTGCATTTATTTTCATAGTTATGATTACTAGCTGCTTTGAGAATTCATTTGGAAGTAAAAATGGAGTAAATTCATAAAAATTTTTTTTTATTTATTTAGCAACAGTTTCTGGAATTTTCCACATTATGTTACTTCTAGCGCTTCTGTCCATTTCAGAAAGTGCACATTAATTGTGAAGTGGTTGATTGACTACGTCAAAGAAGTAAAAATTCCCCTTCAGTCGCGTAAAAGTTTACCATGCATTTTCAAGCCATCTTTATCATAAACGCTACAATTGCTAGCAGATATGACTCCTGTATTGCAAATAAAAAGCTTGAAACAAGGAAAGTTTCTTTCCTTCTTAATTATTATTTTTCTTTTCCTGAAGTTCATACTTTTCCCTGTGCTTTTTTTTCCCTTCTGAAAGAAAAACTCCACCAATGCACCGTGGAAGATGAGGGTGAAATCTTTCAACCAAAAGTGACTGGAAAAAGTATAAAGCCATTTATTGCTGAAAAAAGTAGGGCGTCCAGAGAAAATAAAATAGTAAAAGTAGAAAAGGTTTCACCCTGTTTCTAGATAGGGTGGTAACATAGTAAAATTCAACAAGACTAGAAAATCATCACAGAAAGAAACACATTTTGAAACTCATAATCCTGTTTCATCCTGAAATATTTTATTATATTTCATTAACCCACAGATTCATTCATACTGATTTGGCATTGTGTGTGTTGATGGCTACAAGGGATTTCTATAATTTTTGTTGAAAAGGATCTTCCATCCCCTCTGTGGAAGAGCAGCTAACTAAATTGTCTGGAATAACTTTATGTTAGGTTTAGAGTGCTTACCTTGAGGAGGTTGAGGGTTTGGTGAACTGGTGTAAGGAAAGCAGACTAGTGTTAAATATTGGAAAAACCAAAGAGATCATTGTCGATTCCAGAAAAGGCAGGCACAGCCACACTCCTCTGTGCATTAATGATTCACCTGTGGAGATGGTTACCAGCATCAAATTCCTGGGTATGCAGTTAACAGGTAGGCTGACTTGGTCGCTCAATAGTGAGACATTGGTGAAGCGGGCACAGGGGCACCTGCATTTTCTGTGTCACATGAGAAAAGCACATCTTCCTTCCCCAGTCCTTACCACTTTCTACAGAGGGACGACTAAGAGCATCCTGTCATACAGCATCACAGTCTGGTTTGGAAGCATCACTGCTTCAGACAGGAAGTCGGTGCAGAGAGTGGTGAGGATGGCTGAAAAGATCATTGGCAGTTCCCTCCCATCCAGGACATAGAACATAAGCATTGCTTAAGCAGGGTCTGTAAGATTATCTGGGACACTACACATCCTCTTCACGACCTGTTTTCCTTGTTACCTTCTGGGAGGAGGCTCCATGGTATCCGAAGCAGAACAACCAGATTCAGTCACAGTTTTGTTCCATTCAGCATTAACCTTGTGAACTCTAAAGCTTTCTCTTTTCGTTATGTACTCAAGATGGACAGTGATTAATGTTTATATGTTACTTATATATAAGGGTGTAGGTTTATACATACGTTGTATATAGTATGTTTTAAATGTGTGTTATGTAAGTAAGTAACACTTGAGAGCAAGCAACTAAATTTCATTTTTAATGTGTGCCGTTGTGCCCACAAGGAAAAAAATGACAATAAAGGTTATCTAATCTAATCTAAAAAATAAATCTGATGTAGAATTCAATTCTATTAGGAAGCCATTTCTAGACTGCAATTTTATACATAAAATTTGGAGTTTGACTTATATATATTGATTTGTCATACTGTATAATAATCTACATATAATTCATAGGATTCTCTTAAGGCATTGTTTATCATCCATAATCTCTCTCCCTTTTTAATAACTCCCTTTCTGTTAATCAAATACTTTTAAAGTTTAATGCTTGAATGGATAAGAACTCTCACCATCTAGAACATTAATGATGTATTATAATATATTAATCATATATTTTAATTTGTTATATATTTGCCTATATTTGACTGTTTATATTTGGTTGTAATCTGCATTATCTATTTCTACATTTTTAAAAACTTATAATTTTTTGTCTTAAAAATACATATAGTCTATAAATTAAAACATTTCTAGTTTCAAATAGTTGAAACACTTGCTTTGTTATTCATAGTTCTGCATGCAGTATAAATATTTAAGGTGGATTAGTACAAGGATTAGGAGCACATTTACAGTGAATTAAAATTTCAGCATAATTTGTAATGATCATGTCAGATGCAGCTATTAGTAATTCAGTGCTTTTAAAAAATTGATTTTATATAGCTTTTTGAAATTTATTTGGGCTTTTTTTTTATATTTTAGGCTAATGTACAAAAAACATACCGCCATTCTGAGGTAATACAAGCAGTACAAACTCATCTACAGTCTCAGGTAGATAAAAAAGAGGAAGAAAATAATCAACTAAGAGCAAAATTTCAGGTTAGTTTTTTTTATAATTTTTGTTTCCTCAATAAACAGGTGAACATCTTTGAGTTGAGAAAGTAGTTATAGTTATTAAAAACTAGTTATGTAAACATTTATCCAAAATAAAAATGAATGGGCTGCTCTTTTTTTAAAAAACTTGCCTATTTAGATGGGCACATACAAATTTTCCAATATCTGCTAATCTGTTTAATTCAATCGAAGATTTGAAAAGGCATGTTTGTCTTAGAGACAGAAAATTGTTAAATGTCATAGTTTCTGAAGGCCAGTAATCAAGTTCAGATTCCAAACCAGGGATTTAAATGAATTTTCTGGGGGAAAAAAATAGAATCCATCTCATGACTAAATGGAAGAAATTCTGAAAATTTGATTTCTTTGATCTCTGACATATTTCATTTAAAAATTACATTTAAATTTGTATTTTTTCTTTGTATTTACATTTAGGCATTTTTTTTAGAAAAATTGAAAATAACCACATTGTTTATTTTTAATTTACATTGTAAAAGAGCATATTCTTAAGTGTAACCATAATTGACAGATGTTGTAAATAATGTGAACATTCTAGCCATAAAGTTGTTTTATGACTAGGTTGGAGTTTTTTTGTTGAAATTACAGAACTGTAATGGTGACATCTAGTGGTAGCAGGAAGAACAATGATACATATTATATATGGTTTCTTATGGACATTTGTCAGTACACTGGGCAAATGGAGATCCATTTATGCCCAACTAACCTGCTTGTATTTTAACATATGCATCATTCACAATTTCCTTCCATGTATTTCCAGGCAGGCACAAAACAAGATTTTTATTTTTTTTTTTTGCATTTTTGGAAGGTTATCATACACTAAGGTGGGCTGCATTTGATTTAGCAGGCTTCAGCTTACACAGATCTGCTCTAACCTGCCTTGGCTACAGAAATGAAAATGTAGGATTGTAAAGTTTATATTGGAACAGTAGCTTAAAATATTTCTCCAAGCAACCTCTTTAGACAGTCTGATCCAGTTAAAATAACATTTTTGCACTCCTCCACTTGATTTGTTTCTTGATGCTGTTGCATAAAATGATTATACTTGTATATTGTCTTTTAAAAGACAGTGTTGTTGTCCTCTGCACATAGAAACACTACTTTAATTGTAATATATCATGACAACTGGTTATCCAGTGGATTCTATACTTGAGAAACTTGTAAAAAGCCTTTTAGAGTAGGTAGGATATTTTAAAATCTGAAATAAGCTGTGGTGTTCCAGTTAGGCCATGGTTCAGCAGAAATGAAATTTGTAGCCTCTCTTCTCCTTCCCCGTGATCTTACTAGTACTTTCTTTTCTATCCCCTGCTTCCGTTCCGTTGCCACCACAACTATACCAAGACCTATTTACATTTTTCCAACTTTCTCCTTCTTCACTTGCCCAGTTTCGTTTCATAATCTGGATCAAATATACGTGTTTTGCTTTGAACCATTTTCAGTACTTTTGTGCTGTCTTTATGTTCCACAAAGAACATAAACCAAACTGATTTGAGCTGATCAGAATGACTCCCTTTCTAGTACTGGATACAAAAACCTATTATCCTTGTTTATAGGGTTATCAATAAATTAAAGAATAGGGTATAGTTCTGTATAACAGTGTACTTGGAAGTAATCCCCTTTGAATGCAAAAAAAAGGACTTTATTTCTGAGTAGATGTGGATGGGATTTACACTATTAACAAATTGCATGGCTTTTGATTGTGTACAAGACAAATAATATTCTTCCAGAGAGCAGTAGCAGAATATTTCCTTCCTTTCTCAGGCTTGCTGTTTATCTTTGAATATAGAGTTGACAATGTATGCATGAGTCAGGTAGCCTCCATTAGTGTTCATGTTTTCAGTACTTATTATGTCAGCTAGATATTCAAAATACTTTTATCGCATATTCTACATTTTCAATAGCCTTGATCCAGTAATGGAACTTACTCACATTTAGTCACTCTCTCAGCCCAACTCATCTCCCAGGATTTTTGTGGGGAAAAATAGAAGGAAGGAGTGTTAGGTATGCTCATAATCTTGAGTTATTTATAAAGATAATAGAGGCAGGATATTTTGAACATTCGATCAATTCCTTCATCTAGCCAAAATTCACATTATTTTTGCTGTACTCAGAATATATTTAAAAAATTTTTGTTGCAGACAATGGAGAAGAATATTGCTGCATGGAAGAGACAAGTTGGTGAATATAAGCAGCAGATTTTGGCTGAAAAGAAAAGAAAAGTGGAAAGGAGGAACGCCCTGAAAAGAGCAGCTGTTGTTCAGAAACAAAGAGCTGAACACATGAAAGTGGCTGTCGAAAACTTGATTTCCGAATTTAAGGAGAAGGTTAGTAATAACAGAAGTTGAGGTGAGTGGATAGAAGGGTGATAGGGTTGCCGATAGCTCCATATTAACTACTTTATGAGAGTGCCCTCAATACTCCTTCAGAATTCCAGATATGCCTGCTGGTTAAAAAATATTGCTGACACCTTCTTGAAAGGAAACTAATAATTGGTAGTGATTTAATAGATAGAAATTTCAATTCATATACAAACATGCATATTTACATTTTATGATGAAATACATAATAGGGGTATTGGGGTGTCTTACTTATATGTGCACATACATGGGAATTATATGAAAAAATTATCAGGTTTTATTCAAAGAAATTCATAAATGCATTCAGATAATGTTCAGCTAAATGACTAGAAAAAAAATAAATTCAGTCTAATTTTGAATAAACAGACTGTCGATACTACAGTGTCGTTGTTTGGTGTTGTTTGGTCCACTGGACTGCTTTCTCACCTATGTTGTTTTTGGTTTCCCTGAGCTACTGTATAAGACTTGCACATTTTGAAAAAGATTGGGAAAATCTTTAAATAATTTTATCGGGCTTCCATGGGAGACAGAAAGAAGATGGCTGCTGCTTTAATGAACTGCATAGTTAAAACATATTTAATGAAACACATATATTAATGCAACTCTTTTTTTCAGGCTTGTGTAGTGGCACTGAAAGAAGACTTGTTTACTTTAACAAGTAGCAAAGAGATTTTATGCTAGCACAAGTTTCAAAATGCTTGTGTTTGTTTCTTCCATCTATTGCTTGAAAAAGTCGTTTGTTTTCAATTTAGCTAACATAGCTGAATGTTGTGCACTGTTTGTAAAGCCATCTAATTGAATATGTGGTACTGATAAAGGAGAATATTTGTAGCTCAGGGTTGAAATGAGAGGTCCTTGGTGCTCTCTGAGCTTGGCTGTTTCCTTATATTATCCAAATTAGGTAACATCATCAATGCTAGGTAAATATTGCACTGTACTATGTGTGTGTTTTAAAACAGGCTTTCTTTAACTATTGTTTGGAATAGGTGTGTTTGTGTATGTTTGTTGCCTGCAGTATTTTACTACAAGTTGTAAATAAGCATACAAAAGTTTCTAGCATGGAAGATAAGGAACTAGGAGCTTTGTTCTACTAGCAATCCCTGGATTTCTACCCTTCATCCAGAAAGAAGGATTTTTTCAGTAATCTGCTCAGTTTGATTCTAGAAAAGGAGGAAGAGTGGAGTAAAGCATTGCTTCTCTTTCAGCTAATTCATTCCTCTAAACCAGGGGTGTCAAACTGCCGGCCCATGGGCCGGATGCGTCATCCGGAAGCCACGCCCACCCCATTGCCGGCAATGGCAAAACTATCCCGATACGTCTCACGACGTCACATGATGTCGCAAGTTTGACATGTCTGCTAAACGGAACTTCCAGTTACCTATGGCAACTGGTGAAGACAGTTCTAATGCAAAATACTTTCCAGGTTCCAATCGGTTTTTTTTTTTAAAAAAGCTTACAATTCCAATAATGATCTCACTGGGTTTCTTGTTGATAGCAATCTCATTGGCATTTGCCAGTCAGGCATTTAAGGCAATTGAAATAGAAATATTTCTGAGTAACCTTGTCTTATTCTTGCCTGTAAATGTTTGGTGGATAATGAGAAATTATCTGAGGTAACAGTTAAAGGTTATGGTCATTTTTTTGTCTTTCCTTAAAATAATATGTTTCTGAACAAAATATTAATATTGTTCATTGAGGAAAAACATTCCTAGAATTTTGGAAAATTCTGCTGTTAGGTTATTTTACAGTTACAATGTTTTACAGGGTTTTTTTACTTTTTAAGTGATGTATTTATGATGAGGTTTCAAAAGTTACTCTTGTTCTACTGCAATATTTTCAAAAACTGCTTTGAAGAAAAAAAAATTCTCCTGAGCTTATAGAATTTGAAAATGAGATCTTTATAATACAAAGTTTAAATTTTGTACTATCTCCAGGAAATCCAATTGTCTGAGGCATTTTCAGCTTCTAATATCTGGAAAAGTCATCACAGGATTATAATAGAGGAAAAAACCAAGTTAGAGGTCCAGGTTGAAACTCTAAAAAAGTAAGTAAATGCCTGTGGCTAAATAATTCTCATTTTTAAAGGGTATAACAGCCTGTTTTCATTTTCATGTCATTTGTGTCATGTTTATAATTTCCATTCTGCTTAGATATTTTGCTTGGACATTTGATAGGAATCAATAAAATATAAAGAACTAAATAAATAACAAGTCCCAACTTTATAATAGAGAGGTTTTTGGATTTCAATCATTTTCTTGTGGTTTTTATGGTCTTTAGCAATAAAACAGACTTACTCTGGGTCATTGAGTTGCGGTCATTTTTCCTAAGCAGTCAACTAGTTTGGAGAATGTCTATATTAGTCTTTTTAGTGGGGCAACAATTACACTGCCTATCTATTAGATTTTTTAAAAAAGAAACTGAGAAGAAGATACAAAAGCATTATCATTTAGTTACCTCCTGTCCTGCTTCTGTTATGGTAGATTTGTTCCTACTGTGGTTCGTTTGCAAGAAATACATTTGGGATATAAATACTAATTTGGTCACCGTTGGTGACGGTAGGCGAATGAACAGGCCTTTAGAGCAGGGGTCCCCAGGTCCATGGACCAGTATTGGGCCATGGGATGCCAGCAACCGGGCCATACAAACAAGCAAAATCCCATCTGCGGGATGCATGCAACACACAAAACTATGCCCCCTCCGGTCCACAAAAAGCCCCATCTCCACGTAATCTGTCCCTAGTGCCCAAAAGGTTGGAGACCTCTGCTTTAGAGGAAGGATAGGTTGAACATCTCTTCTGTCAGATTGCTTGGTTTCCATAGTGGCTGTTGAAAGAAGAGGTTTCTCTTTGACCATGGCCAATATTGAAAGAAGCTGGTGAAGAGAGACAGAATATTTTTCTATTTTCAGTGATTCTTTGCAGCATTTCTTCTATAGCCAATACAGTAGGGTGTTTGCCAAATCCTTCCATCGTTAGTATGCTTCATGGAAAATAATTTACATACATTCCCATGCTGGTAGTAGAGAGGAGCATTTCCCCTTCCTTGCAATTTCAGAGAGGAAAGCTACTAAGTGCAATCAGTTAATTCTTCTGTAAGGGATTAATTATTTTTCCATCAAACTGCAAACACTGGTGAAGTCAGCTGCAGCTCAAACCTTATTAAACTTCTTAGTAGAAAAGGTACTGCTAGACACTTTTTTCCCACCATAATCAAACATGTCTCTACTATAATGTCTATAACAAAGAGCACTTGAGTTTCTGGTGGCTGTAAAAATTTCCAACTGTTGTAGTAAGTGGATAGTGACATGTATGGAATTTACTGAGTGCGATAAACAGTCAAATATATCATAATTAACCTGATTAGTTACCAGGAATAGCATAGATAAAATCATATACCTCTTTTGTAGTGCAGTTTTATAATGCAGTGTTTTGGGGCCATACAAATTGGGCGGCACTACAGTTTTTATTAACTTGGCTGCTTTTGTATGCACATTGGAGAAGGAATTCCATGAAATGCAGCACAACTTACCACAAAATAGATGGACATAAGATAAAACATTGCTACTCTTGAAAAAATCTTAAATTCCTAATCAATTAATTAATTTAATTATGTCTTTCTTTTTAATGTCATAGTTAGAATAAGTATATTTTACTTATTGAAACACAGTTTTCTGTATATAAAGATACATATATCTAAACATCTAAAAAGTTGCTAATAGAGATTATACTTAAGAAGCTATAATTATTGCAGTGCATTTATAATTAAATAGTATTACACATATTAATTGCTAAAGAAGTTGTATTTCAAACTTTAAAGGCAGACCACGGACCTTGTAATGGATCTAAACAGAATAGAAGATGATGGAAGAAAGTCAACAAACCAGATTATCCAAAAGATTAATTTTGTTGCTTCTGAAAATAAAAAGATTTCTACAGAAAATTCAAAACTAAAGGCAAGTTATCTAAAATTTTATTTATAGTTCAGCTTTACAACCTCCAGTTTTTCCCCTAAATAATTTGTCTTTAACTTTAGAGGGCTGTTTTGATCTGCTGCAAGTACAGTAATGGAAATAGGAAGCTTTTTTTTCTGCCTCATCCTTCTGTGAAGGTGAAGCCTTTATTCAGAATAATCTTCCTTTTGGATGGAGAGCTTTCAAAGTTCATTCTAGTTCTCAAAATGTATATTAAGAAGGATTCTCAGTCTAATAGGGGACATTCAGAAATAAATCTAAGCTTCGAGCTTATAATATTGAATGTTATATATCCTACATTTAAACATTACAAATGTTTTTTTCAGCCATTACATTTTTCAGGACCAGTGCTTATACAAATTATACTCTTAATTGTAGGCATCTCTAGCCGATCTGGAAGAAAATTTTATTACTGCAGAAGCTGAACTTGAAAATTTACATGAACAAGTGCATCAGCAAGAAGAACTGATTGAAGAATATAAAACTGAGGTAAGTTTGCCATGAGCCTACTTTGGACAATACTTTCTCCTTATATACAATATGAATTGAAGGTATGCTTTTCTTATTATTCTAACAATCCTGCCTCAGTTTTAAAGCAAGATTCAGCACATACATTTCCTTATAAAGTTTCAGATTTTTCAACAAACTCAAAACATGTATTTTATTTAATAAATATGACTTTCACAAATAGCACTATGAAAAATAATAATAATAGTAACCTTGGGAATCAGTATTGACCACTTTAGAAGCTTCTGGTTTGGACCCTTACATCTATTGGAGCTCTGCATAACATAGAAAACACACTTTATTTCAGTTAAATTCTTATGTAGATTTATGTTCCAGGATGAAGATTTACTCATCAGGTAGTTTTTTAAATTTGTTGTATGGAGGAGCTCTTTTAAGTTTAAAATAATTGTAAATCCAAAGGGTTTAAAAAGATTAGATGAACCTGGTATCCTTAAAGTCTCCATCTGTTGAGAGCTTTTGATGGCTTCCCTCGTCTCTTGGTGCTTAAGAACAGCCATCTCCTGTCAAGTGGACAATCTCTGTGTCCAGAAAGATTCAGTTAACCGTGCTTACTGTTCTTTGCTGCATTGTCATCTACAGTACTTTGGAGACATTTAGTTCACTGTTCTTCCCCTGGCAGTCAACAGACATCACTTTTTGGAAGTAGCTTGTCAATTCCTTCTTCCTGTAGTTGAGAAAAGTGACAAGCCAATATCACTCAGCTGGTTTTGTGGCCAAGGTGAGGCTAGTACTCACAACCTCATGTATTCTAGTCTGATTCTTTAACCACTACATCAGAGGTCACTGGGGACTGGTTCTGTGGAGAAAGGTTTTTCCACAGACCAGAAGGTGCATGGTTTTGTGTGGTGCCTGCATCCCGCGGATGGGGCTTTGTTTGTGAGGACCGGTTGTGGCCCGGTACTGGTCCACGGATCGGGGGTTGGGGAACCCTGCACTACACCAAATAGGCTTTAATAACAAAAGAAGGGGATGCTAAAGAATGATCCGCTCTGGGTGTCAAGTATGCTAGTTGACTGACTGACACCATCCTAAATCCAGTCCAAATAATGTTGCTGTGTCTATTTAATCTATCTATCTATCTATCTATCTATCTATCTATCTATCTATCACATACAATAAATAAAATATTGTCCTAGGTGGCAAAACTAGAAATGGAAGCCGAGCAACTGAGAACAAGATACGAAACGGTCATGAACGACAGCAGAACTACAACAGAAGGCAGAGATTTAGAAAGGGATGTGGTACGTGGTTCCAATCTTATGGTATATATTCTTTGTGTTCCATTCTGTGGTTTGTGGCTTGACTGCAGGAAGGTGAACAAAGTGACTGAACTCTATGTGTTTTTTTTCCTCCACCCCCGATGCCATTACGCAGATGAAGAGCCAAACGGAGGCTCGCCAGAAGGAGGTAGAATATGCCCGTGGCTTACAGAAAGCAGCTGAAGAGAAACTGCAGAAGGATCAGGAAAGCCTCCTCTCCTGGCAAAAGAGCTGCGTAGAAAAATCCAAAGCCATTAGGGAGCTGCAGGTTCAGGTGCTTCGAGAATAAAACTTTCCTGCTTGATATTTAAACCAGCACCGGAAAATATTTTTTAAAAAATTGGCAACTTGGCTATCATCACGAACATTAGCTATCATCAGCTTTTTAAAAAAAACGAGGGAGGTTTTTTTTTTCCTTTAAGCTGACTCCAGTTTTTCAAGGAATTAATGCTCCAAATTGTTCTTTTCTGTTGTTTTTAAAGTAGGTGTTTTACCAGGCTCATTTCAGAGTGGGCACTTGGGCATACAATATTATTCGGGAATTAGTTTCTCCCAGGTAGGAAAGGTAGTCGGGGCACCAATGAGTGTCTTTTCAGTAGTAACAATTAAACAAAAACGTTGCATTCCGCTAGGCCAAGTTAGGCAACCTTGGCTCTTTTATGACTAGTGGACTTCAACTCCCAGAATTCCTGAGCCAGCTTGACTCAGCTTGGAAACCTCTCCCTTTCCCCTCAGCATGGCTGGCTCAGGAATTCTGGGAGTTGAAGTCCACGAGTCATAAAAGAGCCAAGGTTGCCTATCCCTGCGCTAGGCATTTTAAAAGTATTATACAGGTAGTCCTCAACTTACATTGGCAGTTGGAATTGGAAATTCTCTTCCTAAATGATGAGGCTTTAATGTGCAATTGGGGAGGGATGGGAACGTGGATTGTGAAGGGCTGGGTCTTGGAGGATTTATGGGTATCTGGCATGGATCAGGAGGCTCATGGAGGCATGGAGGTACACAAAATAATGGCTATCTATTTTGAGAACTCTTTGGATAGGCATGAGGAATAGGAAATAATAAAGCTCATATAATAGAGTGGAAGAATAATGCCGTTGTTTATTGTTTTTTTATTATCCCACCTTTATAATTTTTTACAACTAACTCAAGGTGGCAGACATATCTAATACTTCTTCCCCCTCCTATTTCACCCCAACAACCCTGTGAAGTGGGCTATGCTGAGAGTTTTCAGCACAAGCAATGCCTCCGTTTAGATACCTAATTCAGCAGCCATTAATTTTCAACAGCTATCAGTCTGAAAAAAAGTCCCAACATACAGTGATTAACAAAATCTCTGTTTTTCCTGAAATTATCTTTTTCTCTCTTATTGAAATGGTTCCAGTAAGAAGTCACTACTCAAACAAACATCATATTGCCAAATATATAGTTGCATGCTACATAGCAATACACAAAACTTTTAAAATTCAAGAGGGCTTTTTTTTTTTTGTTTATTCTGTATATTTATAAGTCCCTTTCCAGCAAATACTCTCACAGTCAAAAAACTAATCGGCACAGTAAATAAAGCATTGAAAGGCAAGTATCACACAGCAGAGGAGTGAAATAAAATGGCATCATAAAAGCACAATAGTATATTTATGTTTTAAAACAAGGCCAATGTAAAGATGTCTGCTTAACAGTCCCAAGCCCCAAGAAGGATGGACTTAGGTGAACACTTGCTGAAATAATAGAAAACAGGTCCATTTCCTGCCATTGTTCAGCTTAATTCAGAAGGTGACAAGAACCAGAGCAGGATCTAATGAATTGATCCTGATGTCCATACCTTCTTGTCTGAAGGGCAGATAAGAAAGCAATTCTTCTACTGGAAAACATGGAGAACAACTCTTTGCTGCCTCCTCTTGTGTGTGGAAGGATGCTCTTCAGATGAAGCATGGAAGAATTGCTTCTCATCCTGCATGCAGGAGAAGGCGAACTGCTTCTTCAGATCTTTCACAATTTTGGATTACTCTTGCAAAGTACAATCAGAGCACTTTGTATTTACAGTGGATTTATCTGCCAATATTGCAGTGAAGGACAGAACAGAGCTAGTTTCACAGCACTTAATTTCTATATAGCTTTGTTGGACATGCTAACTATTTACATCCCCTTTTTTAAACAGATAAATCATAGTGATGACTTTTTGAAACAGCTTTCTTTGGAAGAGGAAAATTACAACATTCAGCTAAAATATGAAGGAGTTAAAAGGTAAGCGTGATACTTGCTTTTCTTCAAAGCTACTTATTCCTACTTATTTCTCTGTGGTATTCTTACTCCTGTCTACATATTTGACTTAAAAGAAAGCTAGAAGAAATTGAATTGCAAAACAAAGAACTGGAAAATCAGTTGGTGAATCAAGAAGATAGCCTTCAGAAAACTGAACTGCACGTCAAACAGAAACTTGTTGAATATGATGCTTTAACGAGACAGTTGGAAGCTGCTTTGGAAGATGGAAGGAAACAGGTAAAAGTAATATTGACGGCTGAATGTTTTGTTAGTGAAATTAAGAATATTATGTCTCTAAATATGCATAACTGCAAAGATCCATATATTTCCAATTCAAATCTTTTTGAGGCAAATTGTGTGTGTGTGTGTGTGTAAAATTATATAAATAATCACAGAACAACTGTTATATTGCAAAAGAATTACCTTTTCATTTCCTTCCTTTCTACCTTCTTTCCTTCCTGTGCAATAATCCTAGATCAAAGCCCATTCTAATTGTTCCTCTAAACTAATTGCCCATTGTAACATAAATAATCTTTTGGATTTCTCACTACTCTGAAATTTGGTTTTTAAAAATGGAGCAAAATGGATTTAAAAATACATTTACTGAAAATCTATCTATATTAAGTCAATCTGTGAAAAGAGCAGCATGGAAAAAAATAAATTTTAAATCCTCCTTTTGAAAAAAAAAATCACCCTGATAAACAAATAGAATATACAAAAATGCAGTCAGAGAGACATAAGATGAAATTATTAATTGGGTAAAAAAAAGTCAAATTGTATAAAAGAGATTTTGCTGGAATATCCACAACAGGAGCTTTTCTTTCTCAGATAATATACTTAATAGCAGGGATTCAACCAAAAGTCTTCTGGATCACAACCTTCCTCACTAGGAAAAAAAACTTCAATTGGTTTCTCTAAGTGGAAGAAAGGGGTTCAGCCAATACTTGGTTTCAAAGATAGATAATAGCGCTAGCAAAAGTGAAATTTAATATTTTAGACTGAGCCAAGAAGTTAGCAGTTAAAATGAGAAAAATACTATCATTTCTGGTTGAGTGATTATTCTAAAATGGTGGTAGTTTTTTTCAAAAATATTCATAATATACGGTACTTGAAGGTTAACATAAAAAATCATAAATATATAATTTCAATCTGTTTTTTCTATACATCTTTTCTATTAAAATATGGATTTCTGTAACAGACAAGCATGTTAGTGACTATTCATGGAAACAACAGTTTACTGTTGAAGTGGAAAAGCTGTGTAATTCAAGTGAACCTTAAGATATTTAATTCTTACAGTTTACAGAGGAACTAGAAAAAATTAATTCTAAGGAGCGATCTTTTCAGTTGAAAATATTGGATCTAGAAAATGAATTAAGAGAGAAGAAAAAAGAAAAGAAAGAGCTATCCAAAAGACTGGACAGTGTAAGTAGACATTTTTTTCCATATCAAAATTCAAGATGTGTGTACTGTAATAGCACATCTAACTTAAGGCTGATTTCAGTATAATTCCTTTTATTATTTCAGTATTACTTTAATTTGTCTTGAACTTTTTAAACTCATTAGATTTCCATAGGAACTTAAAAAGGTCAAACATATTGTATCTAACAAATGAAGTATATTTTATTTATAAATAAGCTAATTAGATGTAGTTCTCCAGTTCACATCAATTTTCCAATTTATTCCATGGTTATCATGGCAGGTGCTGTCGATCAATGTCTACAAAAGTATGAATTTGTAAATCACTTAATCTTCACTTTCTACTGTTTGCTGTCTATCCTTTTCCTTTCAAAGCTCAGATTTTTCATTCTCAACAATACCGAAAACCTTTTCTGTGCATGTTTTTATGTACTGGATTATATGCCTTTACTTCCAAGAATCCATTGAGAATTCTCTATATTAATTTTTTCTGGCTGTGATCATTATTAAAGGAGGAAAGTTTGAAAAGGTTGAGCCTGAAAGGAAAGGATTAAATATCCTTTCCTCACACATGGACTAGTTCGAATACCTGCCATAATTTGAAGAAAATAAGAAGAACGAGGACTTAGCAAACTATGTACTTACTTCGTCATGTAATTTTACAATGTATTTCTCCCTTGCATTGATCTTGTCAGGATATTGAATTAAACCAAGGGCATTTGGGATCAGATCCCTAACAAAGCTCATTAAGACAGATGAAGAGAAATTCGAACAAACCTAACTGCAATCCTAAAATACACTTTTTAGTGAGTACAGCCATATATATTTATTTTATTCATTTATTTATCAAATTTAGAAACTACCCATTTCCCTCACAGAGAATCACTGGACAAATGGGTACAAATAAAATGCGTACAAGTAAAATATTAAAATGTAAAAACTATATAAAAGAGACAAAGATATTTAAGTTTAATATTAGAAAATTAATTAAAAGGCGGCAGGAGGACCTTCAGGATACTAACCAGCCCCAAGGCTGGGTGCTTCTTTGTGAGCCATTAAGTTATGTTTTAAGCATTTTCCATTTTTGTTTTAGACCAGGGGTAGTCAACCTTGGTTCTTTTATGACTCGTGGACTTCAACTCCCAGAATTCCTGAGCCAGCATGGCTGGCTCAGGAATTTTGGGAGTTGAAGTCCACGAGTCATAAAAGAGCCAAGGTTGACTATCCCTGTTTTAGACTGATAGTTAAAAATAAACATAAAACTAATATTAATTCATGCACCAGCAGAGTGTCATAGATTTAATATGGAACACATCCTTTCTTCACCTTTTTTTACACAAACAGAAGCATATATACACGCATACATGCATGTACAATGCACATATACTGAAAATACATTATTGAAAAGAAAACACATATCAGATTGTTCCACTTCAAGTAAAGTATTTCTGAAAATAATTGTGAATGGTATATACCTATAAACAAAGTTCGGGACTCTTATATGTATACGTGTTATAGGTTATCATTATAGAATCATAATTTTTGGAACAATTCATCAGTAGAATGGTTTGCCTCCAAAAGTTGTGAGTGCTCCAATACTGGAAGTTTTTAAGAAGAGATTGGACAACTATTTGTCTGAAATGGTACAGAGTCTCCTGCTTGAGCAGAGGGTTGGACTAGATGACCTCTAAGATTCTTTCCAACTCTGTTATTCTTTATTGTATGTATAAAAAACCCTACCCCAAGAAAGTCACTTTTAACCAGAAGTGGTTACTGCAGCCAGCACTCACAAATTGCAGGGACATTTTCTTAACCTGATGGGAAAATAGTTCCCTACTTGAATATATATAAAAAAAAAATACGTTAAAACCCCCAAATTACTTGAAAACTCCCATTTTCAAGTACTTGGTGCTGAAAATATGTAAATGTATTGGTAATGTTTGTTTTTTTTTTTTTCAGCAAGAGAAACATCATGAATTGTCTTTAAAGGAAGTAGAACACAGTCTTCAAAGATCAGAAAACCAAAACCAAAGTATCCAAAACTATGTGAAGTTTTTGAAAGCCTCATATATAACAATGTTTGGCTGAACTTCCTTGGTTGTTGTTGTTTTTTTTCACAGACTAAAGCATATTTTGGAAAAGATCTGTGTCTGTGTTTATAGCATTGGAACTGATTTAGGATCTCTTCCCCTTGTATTCCCTGAAATTCATAATTTTTGTCAATTTTTAGCAAAGTACCCAACATCTGTTGAAAAAATCTCTACCAAGCATGGCTGTTCCAGAAAATTCTTGAGGGCGAAGAGGACCAGCTATTCCAACTCTGATATGGAAGTCTAAGTTGAAGAGATGGAAGTAGCAAGAACATTGGAAAAAAGTAATCTCATAATACTGGAGTTCTTGATTTTGAGGAAACCAAAGCTGAGTGTAACCTAACAAGTATCCTCTTGTTGTTTTTAAAAAAGCTAACATTAATAAATTCAGAATCATAATTGCTGAACAATCCAATGAGGAAAAAAATGGGAGCACAGAAGCAGCATGTGGCTATAGTAGGAATTTGATTGACATCTGAAAACCAAAGAAGATACATATAAAAGATGGGGAAAGGAATACTTCAGCAGACAATAATATATACAGATAGCCTGGAACTAAACAGCTGGTGACAGGAAAGCTAAAACTTAAGACAATTTTAGTTTTGGCAAGAGATGCTATGAACAAAGATGGATCCTTTAGGTATATTCAGAATTAAAAGAATCAGTTTATCTGCTGCACATTGAAGATGTCAAAAGGGAACAAAGCAAGACCAGAATTATACAATTTATTTTGGCTCAGCCTATGAAAATATTATGTGTTTTTTCACACAATTATGAAAGGTAGAATGAAGAGGCAGCATTGAAACTTGAGATTATTCAAAATTATCAGAAAATATCTATACATATTTCAAAAGAAAAGGAAAGGGATTGTAAGAAACTAAATTCTTAGTATACCTTCCGTGTCTCAGAATATTAGAACATATTATGAAGAGATTATTCTGTAAGCACCTAAAACAATAGAATTATTAATGGGACTCTGCATTGATTTGTTAATATTTAGTCTTGTTTTTTGATCAGGTAATTTCATAGCAGATTCTAAGAATGCTGTAGAGTAATATATTTTTATTTCAGCAAACTATTTCAGGAAGCACCTTGTGATATATTACCAAACTATTTGTTTACAGGCTGAAGGAATGACTACTGAATAGCTAATATCTGGCTTGAAAATAACACTCAAATAGTGCTTATCAAGTTGGGGTGCGATTCATGTGGAATATCACAGGTTCAATCTTGGATACTATACTTATCAATATTTTTACTAATGACCAGGATGAAGAAGTTGCAGGAATGTTTATCAGATTATCAGATGACACAAAAACGGATGCAATAGTTATTAATATTTATTTTACATAGAGAGTACCCAATCCAAATGATTCTGTGTGGCTTTAAATTAAAACAAGAAGAATAAAAATAAGAAACACACCATTGCTGTCCAAAAGGGAAAGAAGCAAAACATTTAAAAAGAACAACCCAACCCTAGAAGACAGAGATAAACTTTAGAACAATTTTGGTAGATAAAACAAATGGGTGAAGGTAACATAGTGAAATTTAAGGAAGACAAATGGATAGTTGTTCACTTAGAAACAGTAATCCAATGCAGAAATAAAAAAAAAGTGGGATACCTGGCTTGCTAATAGTAAATGAATTTTTTTTTGTAATACAGTAATTCTTTTTTTAAAAATTTTTTATTTTTTTTCATTTATACATTATAAAAAATACAATACAGTTTTAAAATAAAATAAATTCATAACCATTGGTATGACCTGCCCACTCCCCCCCAGGCCGCGTCCACCCTCTCTTAAAACGTTCCCTACTTCCATCCTCTTTCTCATCTCCCATCCTACTCTCTTCCCCTCCCCCTCTCCTCTCTCTGCCCTACTTCCTCCCTACACCTTCTCTCCTCTCATCTCTATCAAACCCATGAACGCAGCATAGGGGGAGTGCCCAGGCCGCACCCCTATAAGCAACCATTATTTATATTACACTTACCCCCCCACACTTTTCCTCCCTCCCACCCCCAACCCCCCTCCCTTCACTTCCCAGAGCAGAATACAGGGTTAATAATAACAAAATTTATGATAATAATAAGAAAAGAAAAAAAAAATCATACTTAACCTTTAACTCCAATAACCTCTAAAACAATTCTCTATAACATTTACTATAATATTCATTCATAAAATAAATGAAACTTTTTAGTTCCATACTTTTTCTGAATATAATCTATCCATCTTCTCCATACAGTAATATATCTTTCTTGTGTATGATCCTTTAAATAAGCAGAAATTTTTGCCATTTCTGCAAAACTAGATACTTTAAATACCCATTCTTCTAAAGTAGGCAAAGAATCTTTCTTCCAGTATAAACCTACTAATAGCCTTGCTGCAGTTAATAAATTCAACATCAAAATAGTTTCTTTATCGTTTAAGTCCACAAAAATACCCAGTAAAAATAGTTGAGGGGTAAACTTTATCTTCCTTCTAAAAATCTTTTGAATGTTCCACCAAATCATGATCCAAAAAGCCTTTACCTTTTTGCAATTCCACCAAATATGGAAATATGTCGCATCTTTATTACCACATCTCCAACATTTAGGCTGTATATTAGGATACATACAGGATAATTTTTTAGGATCTAAATGCCATCTATAAAACATTTTATAAAAATTTTCTCTCAAATTTTGAGCTTGTGTAAATTTAACATTTCTAATCCAAATTGTCTCCCATAAATCCAATGAAATCGGTTCCTGTATATTCTGGGCCCATTTAATCATACAGTCTTTAACCAATTCTGTTTCCGAGTCTAACTCTAATAAAACATTATAAATTCTTTTTATATGAGCCTGACTCTGATTTTTAATCTGAATAACCAATTGTTTATCTTCTAATGTTATTCCCTCTTTCTTACCTATAGTCCATTTATCCACTATTTGTAAATATTGAAACCATGACTGCAGGATATTTTCCTGCCTTAATACATCTAGGGATTTCAAATGCCAATTCGAACCAGATCAAATTAACAATTCTTTATACGAGATTTTATCAAAATTTGTCCCCTTGGAAGTTCCTTCAATTGCATGTCTAGGAATCCCCCAGATAGGTATTTTATAATTTAATCTATAATAATACTTTTTCCAAACACGAAGTAGGGCATTCCTCAAAATATGTGATTTAAAAGTCCGATCAATTTTCTTGTTGAAAATCAGGTATGCATGCCAACCATATATGAAATCCCAACCTTCCAAAAAAAGAGTATCCTTATTTGTTAGATTAAGCCAATCACTTAACCAAGTTAAGGCGGCTGCATCATAATATAATTTCAAATTAGGTGCCTTAAGTCCTCTTTCTCGAGCATCCTGTAAGATCTTAAACTTAACCCTTGGTTTCTTCCCAGCCCATATAAAATTGTTGATGCCCTTTTGCCATTCATCCAAATTTGCCTCTTTTTAAAATAGGTATCATCTGAAACAAAAAAAGGAACTTTGGTAGAACATTCATTTTTACAGCTGAAATTCTCCCCAACAATGACAATTGCAGTTTTTTCCAATCTTTTAAGTCAGTTTGTACTTTTACCCATAATAGTTCATAATTGTTCTTGTACAATTTTCCATTTGAAGCAGTTAAATATACTCCCAAATATTTAACCTTTTTTACCATCTGGAAACCTGTAGCTTTGACCAAACTTTCCCTATCCTTAACTGTATACAGTAATTCTTGATTGCAGTCTGAGACGGCTGCAAAGAAAGCAAATGTAATTTTAGGTTGCATCCAGAGAAGCATCATTTCTAAATCACAGGAAGTAATACATTTGCTTTGCATTGTTGAGACTCCCAAGGAATAAATCCAGTTTTGGGCACCATACTTTAAAGAAGGATCACAATGGAATATGTTCAAAGAAGGATGAGGATAATCATGTTCGAGAAACCTAAAGACAGATTGAAAGATCTGGTATGTTTAGCTTTAAGTAAAAGTAAACCGAGGAAGAAAAATGGCACTTTACCAATAAGGAAGTTACAAGGAAAAAGAATGAGACTGGCTTTCCATTAGTTCAGAATACATTTACGTCTCAGGAAGACATAATGTGATTCATCTTTTTAACTTCCTAGTGACCAAACCAGAGGAACCAGTTATCCATTATTAGGGATGTTTTAATTTGGATTTCTGAGTGGTTAGTTCATAACCCAAATGCCCCATTCTGACTCTCATCGTTTTATCAGTTTTTTTGTGTACCCTAGGAATGCAGGTAATAGAGAAACAAGTAATCCAGATAAGAAAGAGGAGTGCTGGCATGGCTATCATTATTGAATATCTTCAAACCCCCCCCCCCAAATATCCTACTTGGGCAACGGAGTTAATTTGGGAGGTGATATCCACAAATAATATTTTATCTGTGATGGCCTTTTGTCATTTGTTAATAATATTTTCAAAGATGACAATCATAACCTAATAAGTACAGTTCACCTAGCCCAGGACTGGTAAAATGTTTTGGTTTTGGTTTTTTTGCTCTGAGTTTTGTTACTCAAGATTTTAATCCCTCCACCTTTATGCAAATGTTTATGCTAAGAGTTTCTCCCAGATTCTTGGAATTTTATTATAGAAAAGTGGACTTGGGTTATTGTCTATAGTCCATATAGACTTTGAAGACCTAAAAGACTCTGGATTGGGAGAAGGGAAGGGATACTGCATTATCAATTGGTTTATCCCTGTGCTTGAGAGTTTCAAGGGAAGGAATGCTCCTGCTTTCATATGCTTTTGATTTGTTAAATGTCTGGGAAAGCAGAATTTAGAGCAGAAGCCGAAGTCTCTCAAGGCAACTTGAGGCCTGACTCGCTTTAATCTAGTCTGCCAAATAGACTATTACTAGTATTTCAGAACCAAGAAACAACTTTTATCTCTATTTCCTAGTCATGGCATGAAGGTGCTATAAATCGTTTTGCTAAGAATGATTTGAGCCTGATAGTACAATCTTAATGGTTTCTCTCCATAATGTGCTGCCTTGAATTCCTTAAAAGATATTCTAACTTACATAAGATTTCTTGTATCAAGAGGAGGAGTTTAAGGCATCCAGATGCTTGAATAATTTTAGAGTTGTTGCTTAGTGACTGCCTGGTTTAGTGACCAAAGTTATCATAATATTTAAAAAAGCTTTGGAACAGGTCCTCGCATTTACGACCTCAGCAGCATCGCTCTGCTCTTATTTTTATTTACTCCATACCAAAGTGTCCTCAGAGAGAAAGAACACCAATTCAGCTGAAAGAAGTAGCAAGAAATTGTTGAAAGCTGAAATAAAATTGAAGGCAGAGTCACAGTCATGCGATTTTTATTTAGTGACTGGTTTAATGACCAATTTGCTGGCTCCAGTTGCAATCACTAAATGAGGACTATCTACAGAATGTTCCAGAACA